ATTTTCTTAATTGTGGCAAAAATATATACAACAAAACACTCTGCCATTCAACAACTACATGTATAATTCAGGGCCATTGATTATATTCTTCTTGTTGTGCAACCATGATTGAGATCCTAATCATTCCACCACCACTAACAAACTCAATGTGCTCTAAGCAAAAACTCTTCCTCTTTCACCCATGGTAACCACTGGCCAAGTTTGATTTATTTCTTTTTAGTAGTTTTCTTGATATAATATTTTCCTATCACATAGTTCATAGTTAAATTGCTTTTTAAAATAGCTGTATATGCTATTTTATATGTCATCACTGTTCTGATGCTCCCACCCCCCTCCGTTGTTGTTGCTGTTAGATGCCATCAAGCCAATTCCAACTCATAGCGACCCCCTGTACGCTAGACTCAAACGCTGCCAGTGCTGTCCTGCACTCTCCTTATCACGGTTGCTGCAGCCACGGTGTCAATCCATCTCCTCAACGAGGGTCTCCCTCATCTTTGCCGACTCTCTACTTTACCAAGCACAATGTCCTCTCTCCTGGAACTGTGCCCCTGAGAACATGCCCAAAGTGCAGGAGGCACTGTCTCGCCAGCCTCGGTTCTCTGACAGTATTAGTTCCAGCGTGGATTTGTCCGTTCTTCTGGCAGTCTGCGGTATGTCTAATATTCTTATCATCTAGAAAGCTGTATGGGGCAGTTCTACTGTTGGGGTGTGACGGCGTGCAATGACAGCAGCTAAACACTAAAAAGCCCACACAAGCATGGATGAGTGCGTGTGAAACTAGTGGGATCTGAATAAGCTCCCTGTGCTGTCTCAATGCCAGTTTTCTGGTTTGGAGCTCTGTCTATCCTTATACACCACCACTCACCAGTTTCACGTACTGTGGATGCATTACCGGGGGTGGGGGGAGCAATCCCTGAGTCAGCGGAAAAGAGAAAGACCCCCCCCCAATGAAGTGGATTGACATAGTGGCTGCAGCATTTGGGTCATGAGAAAGGTGCAGGGCGGGGAGTGTTTCCTTCGGTGTGTATAGTGTTGCTTTGAGTCGGGGCCGACTGGATGGCCCCCAACAGTCTTATACGAGATGTTAGCACTGAGGGAAACGGGGTGAAGGGTGTAGAAGACATGTCCCCGTGGTTTCCTTGCAAATGTGTGCCTCGGTCATTATTTCAGGATGAAAAATTAACCCATTGGTTAAATTAAAAAGGCAAACAGGGCTGCAGCCCCTTTCCTTGCTCTGGTCCCAGGAGTTATTGGGGTCTCCATGGGGCCCAGCCTCCCAAGTACCTTGGATGAAGGTGTCGCTGCTCATCACCGTCAGCTGAGACATGTTCCGGAAGGCAGCGAGGAACACATCCGACACGTCCCGGGCATCCAGGTCTGCAAGGATCAGCAGGGTGAACTCCACCACGATGCTGCCATTGGTGATGCCGGCCACTTCCATCTTAATGCCTCCCTCGTCCATGAGCCGGAGCATGGGGGCCGGTAAGGAGTTCCGCACCTGTGGGAGACAGACCAGGTGAAGGGGCGATCCTCGCCTAGAAGCACCCTGGGGGAAAGGTAGAGGCCAAAATGGGCCCAGGGGCCCATTCCCGTCTGCTGTGTCCCTGAGACCAGCACACATGCATGGCTGTTTCTGTGATGGTGGAAAGGGCATGCACCCATCATGACCAGCAAGCTGTTATCTACAGGCTGAGTTTGGGGCTCAGCGCAAAGACAGGGACCTGACCCGCAAGGGCATGTCACTTGGTAAGGGCTCCTCATCCCATTTAGGATCTGTCCGCTCGCTCCCAGGGTGGTTTGAGCAGGTAATGTACTTGGCTGTTAACGGAAGGGCTAGTGGTTTGAGTGCACCCAGAGGTACCTTGGAGAGAGGTCTGGGGATCTATTTCCAAGAAACCAGCTCTTGAACGCCTCATGGAACAGGGGTTACTGTGAACTAAGGGTGGTTTCGTGTAAACTGGTGGGGCTTTTATTTTTCTGGTTGTTTACCCTCAGTGCAGAGTTGTGGAGGGCAGGGATGCATGCTCAAGGGCAGGGAGACCCCCGCTCTACCTATTTCCTAGAACATTTTTTGTTCTTGATACTGCAAATCATTGTCCCCTTGCATGTTTCAAGGAAACATAATTTTCAAAACTGCTTCCCCATGAATACTTCCAACATCCCTATTCAGGCATCCGTTGCTACCCAGAAAAGCTTTGGTTTGTGCATTCTTTAACTTTGGACAGAATCATCTATCACACAATATAGTTTTCTATATTCCATTTTAACCACTATGGTCAAAATGCCCAAAGCCACCATCTCTGAATGGGGTTCAAATCTTCAATATAACTCAAATCTTCCATGGATAAGCATAACTGCAAGTTTGATCTTTGCAGCAACAACCCCATCCTCTTCTGAATGGTGTGAAGAGTAATGTCTTGAAGCTTAGGCACAAGGATTCCACCCCAGGCCTTTGGGTGGCCCAGGGTCAGTGACGCTGTGTCATCCACCGAGGCTGAAGACCCCAGAGACCCAAGTCCCTTCGGTTGGTGCTACCCCTGAGTGGCTGCATCCTTGTCCGCGAACAGTCAGCTGCCCTCACTCTTTGTCCACGACTGAAAGGCAGGCATCGGCCACAGGCCGGGATTAAAGTTCCTTTTAGTTGCACCTGAGATGAGTCTGAAAGCCAAGTTCTAGGATCCTTACTAGGGAGTGACAAAGATCTAACTGATGCATTAAGCTACTGTGCCGCCTTAAGCCTCTTTTAATGCCCTATAGACATTAACACATACACATCACATGCCTCGTGGGATCATTGGCTTCTCTGAAATCCTAGACAAACACCCCAAACTATCCCCAATCGATGGACAAAGAGGGGAACCGTTTAGAGGAGAGATTAACCCAGAACATTGGGGGTGGATACTTACACACCAGTGCTCACTACACACCCATCACTGTGACACTACTCACCATAGCAACCTGGTATCCATCAAGAGAGGAACTGATACATAAAAGGTGTCAAGGACCATACAATAGGCTTGTTGTTAGCTGCTCCTCACAGTGGGTATTGTTTTTGAGCCCATTGTTGCAGCCACTGTTTGAGTCATCTCATTCACCTCTTTCTCACTGACTCCCCAAAGCCTGAGAGAGGAAGTCTCGCCCTTCTCACTTTGAAGCAACATTTGGCTGTACTTCCTCCAAGATAGATGTGTTCGTTCTTCTCGCACCACCCGGTTCTTTCAACATTGTCCGCACCACGGTTCAAATGCATCAGTTCTCTAAAATGCCAGGCTTTGATGCGCATTTGCGGCCATGCCTTAATCCTCAGGGTGATCTCTTTCCGTTGGAGCAGATTGGCCCAATGTTGTACTTCATCTGACGGTTTGACTACATTAGTCAATGCTCATGGAAGCGGCAGTCAAGAGACCGAAAGACCACGCATTGGGTGCATCTGCTGCACCGGATCTCTGTAGAGCACTGGAAAGCAAGGATGTGACTTTGAGTACTGAGGTGTGCCTGACCCAAGCCATGGTCTTTCCAAGTGCCTCATCTGCTTTGTGAACATTGCACTTTGACTAACGAAGACCGATGTATTTGACTTGTGGTGCTGGTGAAGAACATTGAAAGTTCTGTGGACTGCCAAAAGGACAAACACATCTGTCTTGAAAGAAGGATGGCCATGGTGCTCTTTAGAGGCAAGGATGGAGAGATATCATCTTACATACTTTGACCATGTTGTTGGGAGAAGGGCATCAGGTTTGATAGCGCAGAGGGGCAGCAAACAAGAGAAAGCCCCTCAAGGAGAAGCATGGACAAGGTGGCGGCAACTGTGGGTTCAAGCCCGGGAACTATTGTGAGGCCGGCGCAGGACCAGCGTGTTCTGTTCTGTGGCAATGGGGTCGTTATGGGTCAGAACCGACTTGATGGCACCTAGCAACAAGAATAAACTTCCATAAGTGTTGGCTGTGGATCCAAGTACAGTGACATCCCCGACAATTTCAATCTTTTCTTTCTTCGGTGTGACGTTGTTTTACTGGCCTGGTTGGGAGGATTCAACGGATCTGGTCTTGGGTTTTAAGTGTTCGATGTATCAAATCTGTTCCTGTGAGATGCTTGCCAAATTCAGGTGGGATAGACTCAAGGTCTTCCCTTGGCTCTCTTCCTTTGGACATGTTTGAATATTCTTCAGCGTCACCATGATTTTGCCGACGAGCAGTCGAGGGTCTGTTCCACTGTCAGCTCTTGGCCATGTGCCGACTGGTCATGTCGGGCTTCGCCATCACCTCTTCCCACTGCTGGAGTCCATTTGATTCTTGTGTGTGCCATCTGGCAAGTTCCACAGATGGACCTTGCTGAAAAGGCGCTTTGCCATGAAGAAGTCATTGGCTTTGCAAGATTCGATCACATGACCACCACATTATTTCCATCACCAGGGCTGTATTTTCCAACCATGGATCCTTTCGTCCTGGCTTCCTACGTTCACATTCCAATCACCAGTCATAATCAATGCATCTCGGTTGCTCATTGGATCCATTTCAGACTAAAGATGCTAGTAGATGTTTTCAATTTCTTCACCATCGGCCTTGGGTGGTTGGCGGGTAAATTTGCTTACCAGCTATGGCACTTGGTCTTCCTGGTAGGAATTGGGGTGTTGTCCCATCACAGACAGCACTGTCCTTCCAGACAGATCCTGACGTGCTCTTTCTAGTGCTGAAGGGACACCGCTCCTCTTGAGTCTGTCATTCCTGGTACAGTAAAGGGGATGTGTGTCCAGTTCCCATGGGCCAATACCCATCCGCGTCGGCTCACTGGGGCTGGCCTCGGATGTCGATTCTTCTGCTCTCCGTTTCATTTTTGAGGACTTCCAGTTTTCCTGGGTTCATCCGTCATACATTCCGGGGTCCAATTATTAATGAATGCTTGCAGATGTTTCTTTTCGTTTTCGCATCAGCCAATGAACGGCCTGAGGGCTCTGCTCCATCCGCGCCATCAAGTTAGACTCCACATTGGGGAGGCAGCCCTTTCCCAGTCCTATGCTGAGTGCCTCCCACCCGAGGGTTTCATTCTCTGGCCGCATCTCAGACAAGCTTCCACGGCTCCCCTTAGGGTTTCCATTGGCAAATCCCTTGGAAGTGGGCCTCCCATTCTTTCTCCCTGGTCTGTCTCAGTCTGGCTGCGCTACTGAAACCCGCCCACCACGGGGGACCTGATGGTTCTTGAAGTAACGGTGATACAGCTTCCAGCATCCCAGAAACAAGCTCACGATGGCCCAACACATTGACAGACAAAACCAAGTCACTGCTGAGTTGATGCCGACTCACAGGGAACCGAGGGGACAGGGTAGGACGGCCCCTATGGGTTTCCAAGACGCCAGTGCTTTACGGGAGAAGCCCTGTCTTCATCCCGTGGTGTGACTGGTGGTTTCCAGCGTCTCATCTTTCAGGTAGCAGTCCAAGACAAGTGGAGCATTATTATAATAATTTGAAATAATATCTGTAAAATAATGCTAATATAATATAATGTAACAAGAAAACAATATCAGCAATAAAGAGAATAAAATACCAATTCATGCTACCACCTGGATGAATCTTGAAAGTATGATGCAATGTGTCCCCCCCATATTTTGCAATTATGAAAAATCTTGAAACTATGATGCAATCATTGACAAGATGCTACCATAGTTTCACACACTGCCAGTAGATGGGACAATTAAACCCACTCTTGTGGATCTTAAAAAACAAAACTCTTCCACTGAGGAAGAGTTAAGATGTGTGACATTTCCACGGTATTAATAAGATGATGATAGTAGAGTAAAACCAGGGCACCCTCTATTCTTGTAAGGGTAAACTAACCCCTATCACCAAGAATACCCTTTATAACCTGCAACAATATACTTTCTTAAAGAATGCTGGAGGGGTACTTAGGTAGAGCAGGGGTATTTACTAAGGAAGAAAATCATAGCTACTGTTAGACACAAGGAGCCCTGGTATTGTGTGGTTATGCTTTGGGCAGCTATCCATGAGGCCGGCAGTTCAAAGCTACCAACCACTCCTTGGGAGAAAGGCGGGCTTTTCTACTCCTGTAAAAAGTTACGGTCTCAAAACCTCATAAGGGCAGTTCTATCCTGTCCTCTGAGGTCACTTTGAGTTGGCATCGACTGTGACAGTGAGTTGGATCTTTGTTTTTTATTATACATAATAGTGAGAAATAGAAACATCTGAAATGTTCATCAGCAGGTGAACGGATAAACAAAATGGAGTACTGTACAAAACCACACCCTCCTCTGACTTCACAGGGTGGGAGGCTCCACCCCACACTAGTCCACCCGAGTCCGATGACAGGGGTCAGAAATGCCTCCAGTCTCCAAGGTTCTTACCAGCTCTGACGTCAACAGTCTCTCCCAAGGCTCTCTGTGCTTCTCTGGTGGGTGGGATGGTTCTCTGCGACGGTCACACAGCACTCACAGACAATATTTACACTGACGGGGTTTATGAAGGGAGCTAACGGGTTATGACTCAAGGCCAAAAAATGCTCAGGACACAGTTCTTTGGCTAGGACAGCCTCTTCTCAGCCATGCCCACAGGCAGGCCTCTCTCGATTCCTTGGCTTCTCAGCCATGAGGCTCTTTGGCCTCTGCCCTGCTCAGGTAAGACGCTGCTGATGAATACCACCTCTTTGGAGCAGCTTGTGGGTTAGAAGTGCTGCCCTTTCCACCCACCAGCTGAGGTCTACCCGCTGAGCCACCACGGTGCTTTTCCTGCTCCACCTACCGACCCAGTGCCCTCCAGTAGACTTCAACTCACAGCCACCCTGGGGGACTGAGTCCAAGTGTGCCACAGGGTTTCTAAGACTTGGATCTAGATGGGAGCGGACAGCCAGATCTTTCTCCTGTAGAGCGGCTGATGGACCGGAACCGTGGACTTTGCATTTACCAGACAAGTGTTAAGCCCACAAACTATGCTGTCAGGCCGCCTTCCTTCTCCATAAGACCCTATCATCCATAAAGAGTTTCCCGGGAAGACAGCCACACAAAGCCAGGGGGCAGCAGAGAACAAAGGTTTGCCCCCTGTCTGCCAGCCCAAGAAGGTAATCCCCAGCTTCCTTCCCAATGGAGGATGCTCTCCTAGGCTCACAACAGAAGTCCTGCTGGATGAAGCTGGAGCTCTACACCTCTTTCCCCGCCATCCCTCATGTTCCCAAAGGGAACCAGACACTGCCACCAACGTACCTCGGTAAAGAAGTGTTCTAGGAAGTCCTGGTACTCCCTGCTGCTGGCATTGCAGAAGGATTCCGAATACTCGACATTGGCTATTCGCACTTTCCCGGTGAGCTTCTGGGCCGCTACAGGGCAGAGAATTAAAATGCTTACATATAAAGTCATAGGCTAAAAAATGTAAAGTGATCGGCTGCCATTTCAGTACCAATAATAGTGCTTTTGCACTTGGCCATGAAGAGCCTACATTGACGAGGCACTCAGCCTTGCAGCATCGAGTGCCCAGACTCCAGGGGACCCAGGGACAAATCCCAGGGAGAACAGGTGTACCCCCAAACCCCCCCTCCCAGCCTCCCTCTGGAGAACACAGCTCTTGGGCAAGTACTCTGCAACTTCACCCATGCATTTGCTACTCGAATAAGTTGTAGCTTAAGAAAATATCGAGATTACAGATGCCACTGGGAGAGAGAGAAGAGGGATTTCTCTTGGCTATAGATAAAGCAGCCCGGGTTTATCTACACATTGGTTACACATTTGGGCTGCTCAGTGCAAGGCCGGCAGCCCCTTGGGAGCATCTAAGCAATGCTCAGGGGCCACTGTACCCTGTCCAACAGGTCGCCGTGAGTCTGCATGGCAGAGAGTCTTACATAGCTATCCATGAGGATTAGCTTCTACTCCTTGGGGTCAATGTCTAATTTGCTAACCCTCAATTCAATGATGGCCTCTCTCTCTCTTTTTTTTTTTTGCGTAGGGCAGGCCCTGAAGCATTCCCCGAGGAGTGTATGTCTGCCTCCCAGTTAGACTTTTCATCATCGTCCCTCCCTGAGAGCCAAGTGCAGGAGGCCCCATGAGAGTAGGGGGCGGGGTGTTAAGTGATGGAGACAGCTGGACAGAGACCCCACCCACACTCCCTGGGTACGGTTGGTGAGGCTTGGCATACCCCGGGGGCGGCCTGCAGCCTCCGTGCAGAACATCTGCAGCACTTGGCCATGGCGGCGCCTCTTCACCCCTGGCCTGCCCAACACCTGTCCTGACATCGGGAAGGTTGTGTGTGTCACCCATTGAATTGTGTCCCCCAAAATGTGAGTACTGAAGTCAGCCCTACCCCCACCCCATACCTGTGGATGTGATCCTGTTTGAAAATAGGGGTTGGGTTTCATGTGGGTACCGTCAGACCAGAGTAGAGTGGACCCCAAACCTAAGCACCCCTGGATCGCAAAAAGAGCGGAGGAGACACAGAGACACAGATGCCACATGAGGCTGGCCAGCGAGCCAAGGGCTGCCCGCGATGGTGGAGGCTCTGCTGGCAGCCTGGAGCAACTAGGGCAGCAAGTTGGGCACTTGCCAACCATCTGAGTGTGGGGTATGTAAGACTTCACTACCCTGAGAAGATGGAATCCCTCAAACAAAGCCCCATCTTCAAAAAGCCTCACGGCACCTGAAAGCTGTTGGATGCGTGTCTTTACCTTCCCACGAGGACAAGAACGAGCAGCGAAGGGCTTCTGGAACGTTACCTGTCCTCACTTTGAAGTGCGCCCTGGCGCCTTCTTTCCCACACGCTGCGGCTGCGATCGCAAGCTTGTACAGCACGCCCGGCTCCAGCCCCAGCAGCATCAGACTCGTGTTCTGGGTCTCGAGGTCCAGGGTGAGGTTCGGTGCAGAGGTCAGGGTGAGCAGGAAAGAGGAGCTCAGGACGGGCCCTGCCTCCCACGCCACGTGGAAGCTGGTGCCGGTCACATTGGAGACCCTGACCTTTTGGATGGGGATGGGGACTGGAAGGCGAAACAGACAAACGCTAGAATTACAGCCCATCACCCTGCTCCAGGGAGAAGGATAAAGAGAAACTTCCGCTAGCGCTGAAGATCACAAAGGAGCACTGTGGAATGATAGCCTCCAGCTCACAAGATAAGGGCTGGACTTTCAAGGCTGTCGTCAATGAGACACATGTATGAGGAGCCCTGGTGGCAGAGTGGGCTACTCATTAGGCGGTTCACCACAAGGTGAGCAGTTCAAAACCACCAGTCGCTGCACAGGGGAAAGATGAGGCTTTCTACTCCTGTAGAGTGAGTCTCAGAAACCGACAGCAGTGCTACCCTGTCCTGCGAGGTGGCCATGAGTCAGAATTGACTCCATGGCTGTGAACTTGAGCTCTACTCCCATAAAGAGTGACAGTCTCAGAGACCCCCAGGGGCACTTCTACCCTGTCCCGAAGGAGAGCTACGAGTCGGCATTGACTCGATGGCAGTGAGTTTGTTTTTTTAAGGGGCATTTATAAAAGGCTCAGCCGTGGCTGTTGGTGTCTTCATTCTGCCTAACCTTTCCCGAAGTCCAGACAGCAAAAATTGGCCCCAGGTTTTTGTCCGCCAGGTCAGGGTGACCATGGTTAATGCCCTTTTTTTCTTCAAACGTCACCCATGAGACAGATGAGCCAACCGTGCCTGATGAAGGCAGGAGGGGCCAAGACATGGATTTCTCAGACCTCAATCCGGGTCCCCCTGAAGTCCTCACCCGTGGTCATTTTAATGCAAATGCCTTTGAGCACACAAACAAAAAAAATTCACCACCATTGAGTCAATGCTGACTCATAGTGACCCTACCGGAGATGGCAGAACTGCCGCTGTGGGTTTCTGAGACTGTCGCTCTCTATGGGAGTAAAAGTCTCATCTTTTTCCAGAGGAGCGGCTGGTGGTTTCGAACTGCTTCTTTTCTCTCCACCAAGGAGAATCTGTCCCAGAGAAAGGCTAACGCTCAGGGTTCAGGTTCCACACCCTCTCCAGGTGCAGAGGGCACAGGCAGAGGGATGGTGCAGTCCATGACTTTCTGCCTTGGTCCTATCCTGGGGACATCACGGTCTCAGGAGACACCAGGGTATCCCCTCACTGCCTGGAAGGCACCCCTTCCCCACAGGAGGAGCGCCAAGGATTTGGGGTTGTGTTTGTTTCAGGGAGTGATTCAAAGATATCCCCGAGGTTTCTGGACTTCCAGCAATAAAGGCTCCCCAAGCTGGTTCCAGAGGAGTTCTGGTGGCATGGGACTGCTAACCACAAGGTCAGGGGTTAAAATCCACAAGTAGCTCCATGGGAGAAAAATGAGGCTGCCTGCTCCCCATAAAATGTACAGTCTCAGAAACCCTAAAGGAACAGTTTCCTCTGTTTTCCAGGTTGCTATGCATCGGAATTGGGTGGTGGGTGTAGTAAGCAGGTGCCAGATGGCTGCCCCGAGCAGCTGGTCACCTTCTAAAGCCTGGGTCTACATGGGCTGATGAGAGGGTGGCTGGTGTGGACACAGACCACCCTTTCAGGGAGCCCGGGAGCTCTTGCTGTTCTTCTATGGGGCCTGGGCATCCATTCAGACCTGGGACGGTAGAGGGCACAGTGCACTGATGGGGGTTAACCTAGAAGAAGACAGGGTGCAATGGCTCTGGGATCACACACTCCTGGGGGGAGCAGAACTACTGTGAAGTGAGTGTGCACACTACTGGGGTGTACAAAACTACTGGGGTGCATGACTGCTGGGGTGCAGGCACAGCTGGGGGCACTCCAGCACATACAGGCCTCAAATGACCCGGGAAGCCCTACCTCCTGCCCGGCCTGCTTGCAAAGAGGGAGGCTGTGGTGTGGGGGAGCAGTGAGGGGCTGGAGAGACAGGGAGGCACCCTCAGTTTAGTGAAGTAGCCACCTGCCGCCAGGTGCACGGTCACTCTGCGCCCTGGCAGAGAGACGCGAACGTGAGAATGGCACCCGAGTACTTCCAAAGGGTCCTTAGGGTCTGCCGTGGCCATGAGTCCTCACAGCCTGAAACTGCCCAGCCCTCAGGGCCTGGGCACCTGCCCTCCCACCTCTCCTCAGCCAGGCGGCCTTGGCCAGGAGGCACCTTCCAAGCACTCACCGCAGGCGGGGGTCTCTGGAGAAGCAGGGCTGGAGGCTGATGGCAGGTCTGGGGAACTGGGAGGCCCCGGGTCCAAGTCCCATGGCCGTGTGGTGTTCAGAGGTGCTGGTGGTGTGTCCTGCTCCACCGGGGAGCTGGGGTGCCACATGATGTGGTCCGTGGGGCTTGTTCTGGGGGTGAGCCGGGAGCTGGGCTCCACAGTTGAATTTTGAAGTAACTGACCCAAGGGGTCCAGTGGGCCATTTGAGTCTTCCAGGAGGGAGCTGTAGGTTGGACTGGAAGCCCCAGTGCTGGTCACCTGGCCCATCCAATGGCCAGTCCGCAGGCCTGGGGCAGCACTGGGCACCTCCTCCTCCATGCCGTGCCCCGTGCTGTTCCTGTCCTGCTCGGCTGTGCTGCCTTCGTGCCCTCTCCTGAGCAGGGGTGCAGGGCTCTGGGCCTGGTCTGCTGCTGAGGAGTTCCCCAGGGTCCCGGGGCTGTGTGACAAGCCAGGGGTCACAAGGGTGGGCCTGCCTGCAGCCACTGCAGTGCCATCAGCGGAGCCTTCAGTCCCAAGGGCTGGGGTGGGTGCCCCTGTTGCTGGAGGCTGCCTGCCATCCAGAGAGCTCACTAGCTCACCTGCTGGGACATACATCACACTCAGACGTCTGGTCTAAAGGCTATCAGAGCCCGCCCCACACTGAGGGAGCCCCGTCCGAGAGGAGCACACAGGCCATGCAGCAAGATGGCCCTGGCGTTCTCCAGGTGAGCCCAGCACAGGGGCCTGGATTGCGTTGGTTGGTATCTGAATCATTAAAGGGGTCTGTATCTGCAGTCTCCCCAGAACTCTGCAAGGAGCAAGGCAGGTGCCTTGTTTAATCCATGACTCCGCTAAATCCTAAAAGGGGAACTGTCTCAGGGCTGCAAAACCAGGGTGCTGCAGCCGCCATTTAACCCTGAGACCCATGTGGGGAGTGAGAAACCTCGGCGGGGTCAGTCTTAGCAGCTCACTGCACGTTGGGGGTGAATACTGAAAAGAGAAGAGACAGTGGAGATAATACACACTATCACCCCCTCTTCTAAAAAAATTTTTAAAAGAACAAGAGCTATGCTTCAGCACGCTCCCCAGCTTTGCTGGGGATGACAAAGGCCGCCACCACACCCACACACCCACTCACTCCCTGCTGCAGCGGCACCCAGGCCAGGCATGCCCCGTGGAGCATCAGCACGCAGTCTGGGGGTGGCCGCCTCCTTAGGCCACTCAGTACTGCACGCCAGAGAGAATGTGACCAGCTGACAGAATCGGTTCCAAAAATGACTTGTGGCCGAGACGCACCAAGAATGGAGCTCAGGAGACCTCATGTTGGCCACTTATTCATGCTCAGCTCACGGGGCGGGGGTGGGGTGGGGGAGGGTTGGCTGCACATCCTTGCGGGCTTATGGCTGTGATGACTCCCAGGAGCTCCTTCCCACACTGCAAAGTCTGTACAAGCGCACTGAGATCAAGATGAATGAGATCCAGGCTGATTCACCACCACGTGCACTCATGACTACCGTGTGGGAGGAGGAGCCCCAGAGGTGGTGTCCTGGGTGACAGGCTGGGCTGATTAACAGTTCAAAACCACCAGCCGCTCCACAGAAGAAAGGTGAGGCTTTCTATTCCCATAAAGAGGGACAGTCTCGGAAACCCACAGGGACAATTCCACCCTGTCCTATGGGTTCGCTATGAGTCAGACCTGGGTCCGAGGCAGGGAGTTGGGTTCGCAGATGGGCATGGCTACTCACAAAATAGCTGGAGTTTCAAGTCCTCCCTGGGCACCTTTGAAGAAAGGCCTGGCAGCCGACTTCTGAAAAGTCAGCCATTGAAAACCCCATGGAGCCCAGGCTACCCTGAGTCACAGTGAGGCGGCGTTGGCTGCAACGGAGGGACTAGGATCCGAATTTCTTTCTTTTTGAAGAGAACCTGAAATCAAAACCTGGGTTCCTGAAGGCGCTGCAGGCCCGGGCACTGTGCCCTCCGTGTCTGAGGACAAAGTCGGCCAGCTCCTTCGAGAGCCGGGCCCAGGACACCCACCTTCACAGGTCCGCCCTGCCCGGGAGGGGTTGGCATCCCTGGCGATCTGGCAGCGGCAGGTATAGGCACCCTCCAGGTTGAGGCACTGAGCAGCGGCTGAGCAGTCATTCTCCGAGGGGTCTGCACACTCATCCCAGTCTGCCAAGCGGACAGAGACAGACAGACACATGCTCACAAAGTGCAGCCACTTGCTCCCTCGTTCCCTCTGGACTGCACAGGGTAGGGCCTCGAGCAGATGGGAAAACACTGGGCTCTGGCAAGCACCTCTAGTCCCCAGTGCCCCTGCAGAAGGGCCTGCATGGAGACCCTGCCCCTGAGACCCTGTATTCAGGCCCAGGGGGCAAGCCAGGCCTCGTCTTATTTGGGGGCACCTGCAAGTTAGCTCTGTGTGTCAGTGTGGTTGGTCTGTGGTGCCCAGGTGCTTGGTGAGGTGGAACGGGGGACAGTTGGGTAAACAAAGCAGTGGCTTATCAAATTCTCATCTCACAGGTTTCCCTGTATGCGCTCCCCAAAGCGTGACAGTGATTCTGTCTTGTTTACCCTATTTTCCTGAACCCCAAACATCGAGATTTTATTTCCTTCCTTGTAATGGACCAACACCCTCCTAATACTCAGTGCTTTGATGAAGAAATAGAAATATATTTGCCTCAAGACGTGTCAGGTTAACATGGCTTTGGGTGTCAGCTTATAGCGTCCAGGTGTCTCAACAGCTGCAGGGATGATGCTGGGGTGTCTTCTCCCCATGTCCTGGAAATGACTCTAGGGGCCTAAAGAACCCACAGCTTGCCTTTCCAACCGGAAGCCTAGATCCTTCTGACTGGGGCAAGGGAGTATGCTAAGTACCCGTCCCCCATTCCAGGAAATATCCCCAGTCTCCCTGCCCCCAGTGTCTGCCCATGCAATTGCTCACCCCTCACCCCTGCCCATGCTAACCCCCCATTGTCTAATCATCTGTCAGCGAGGACTGGCATGAGGCCGCAAAGTGAAACAGAAAATGTAGCCCCTGTTCTCCCTCTCACCTCCGCTCTTCCCTTCCGGTTTCCCCGGTAACGTCTGCATCCATCCCCTTGCCTGTTCTATACAAAGACCTTGATGGTCCCCCAGATGCTGTCATACCACTGAACCAGGCATCCTGTGCTGCTACTGCTGGTGTCCCCTGCCAGCTCTGGCTCACAGCAGCCTCGTGCACAACCCAGCAAACATAGCCAGGCCCTGCATCACCTTCATGGGGGCCAGGGAGCACCACACTGCTTCTGTGGCTACCCCATCAATCCATGCCAGGGAGGGCTCCCCTCACTTCTGCTGACCCTCTCTGCTGTTGTCAGATCCCTTCGAGTTCATTGCAAACACCACCTGGCCCAGCGCCATCCTCCCAATCGTCCTTCTGTTTGAGCCATTGCTGCAAATGCTGTGCCAATCCGGAGCATCGAGTGCCTTCCTCTTTATCCCTGCCCCTCCACTTTCCCAAGCATGATGTCCTTCTCTACAGACCGGTCTCTTCTGATAACAGGTCCAAGGCACATGAAATGAAGCCTATGGCTGTACTTCTTCCGAGACAGATTTGATGGTTCTTTTGGCAGTCCGTGGTACCTTCCAGATTCTTCATCAGCACCATCATTGAAGCTCACCGAGGCTTCTTCAGTCTTTTTGTTCCATGTCCAACGTTCACGTGCATACGAGGCGATTGAAAACACCCTGGCTTGGGTCAGGCGCACCTTAGTCCTCAAAGGAACATCAAGGGTTGCAGTCTTCAGGATGGGTTCCGACACTAGGTAAAGGAAACCCAAATCTGAATCCTCACTCCTGGACCAGCAGGTCACATCACGATACATGGAGAGAAGGTGGAAGTGGTCCAGGAATTTGTCTTGCTTGGATCCACAACCGGTGTTCACGGAAGCAGCAGTCAAGCGCTCAAACAACACACTGCTTGGGTAGTCTGCTGCACATGACTTCTTTCAAGGGTTGGAAAGCAAGGATGTGACTTTAAGGACTAAAGTGTGCTGGTCCTCTTATGGGATGCCCTTTCCTAACCATTGGCCTTTCCTCATGAGCTCCCTAGAGCAACTGAGATGTGAGAATGTGCCTCACTTACTTGAGACGCCTCCTGAGGAAAGATCAGCTGCTAGAAAAATATCTTAGCAATCTAAGGTATAATCAGCCAAGTGTTCTTCAACAACTTCTTCTTTAGATTGTCACATGCAATACACATGCAATCCAACCTTAAGCGATAATTGTGTGGAGGAGCTCCGGAGGGCCAACTCCCCCTCTCCCCCCTTACAATTCCATCCTGCAGCCTAGTGTCAGCTCTGGGATCACTGCCTGTCCCAGACCCCAGGGCTGGGATGCCAGTGGTGGTGGTGGTGGTGGGGGGTCCCTGTTGGCCAAGAAGGGCTTTGAAAAGAGCTGTCTGGGTCAATTGGGGCATGCGGGCTCATGAGTCTCCGTGGTATGTCCTGAGCCCAGGCCAGTGAGGCTCCAGGATCCTAGCGCTCTCCTACACACAAGATGCTGCTGTTAGAGGCACCATCGGGAGCCTGCTGAGCCCTGCTCAAGGGCCAGTGAGCTCAGATGGGCCTGGAATTTAAGTCAAAAGAAGGACTCATTCAGAATTCCTGAGTGATGCAAACAGCTAACAAACTGCTAACTAAAAGGTTGGAGGTTCAAGCCCAACCAAAGGTGACTCAGAAGAAAAGTCTGATGATCCACTTCTGGACGATCAGCCCTTGAAACCCCGCTGGTGCACAGTTCTCTGCTGACACACATGGGGTCACTGTGAGGGGTTCTGTGTTTGTGTTTGCTCTCAGTTCTGTTCAGAGAAAAATGCGGCGGGATTCCAGCTTTGCCTCCTATAGTCTTCGTAAATGCAGGTTTTCCCTAGGGCCAGCACAAACTGCCTAGGCTGCCCCAGGACCCAGGGGAGTCCCTTTGCCAGCCTCTGGGCCCTGCCTGAGCTGTCCAGGGTGTTCCTGTAGCGCATTCGGCTGAGCACAGACCAGGTTGGCCAGGGAGCTGGGCCCTGGAGGAGAGCCAAGGCAGGGAGAATCGGGGTTCACACCATCATACCAGGCATGGAGTGTCTGTTTTTGATGTCCAGTATCACCTGGCCCTGGACTCCTTCAAGCAGAGATCCCACAAGCGTGCTCAGAGGGTGCCCCCGACGGCTTTATTCTGTCTTACATGAGGAAGGAGGCAGGTGTAATCTTGACAGAAGCAGACTGCCACAGCTTTGTCCAAGGAGTCGTTGGTGGGTTTGAACTGCCAACCTTTGGGTTAGCAACTGAGTTGTTGAATCACTGTGCCACTAGGGCCCCTTAGCTCAGCATCAGGCGAGGGAAGCAGGGGACCAAGCACCTGCTTCTCCAGGGTCTCCAGAGGTGAGGGAGGATGGCCAAAATGTTGATGGAAGTGGGAAGCCTCCTGCAGGCTTTGGGGGGCACATGAGGCCCCCCCTGTCTCCTTTGCTCACCAGGCCCAGGTGGCAGCAGGGGTTCAGTAATAAAATGTGGGCTGGGGATAGAGGGACACTTAATCCAAGAGAGGCATCCTGGTGTCGCTGTGGGCTAGACACTGGCCTGCCAACTGCAATGCCAGTGGCCCGAGCCCAGCAGCACTCCAAAGGACAAGATGAGCCTGAGAAAACTGTTCCCGTGCAGATTTATTGTCTTCGAAACCCTATTTAGGGGTCACTATGCGTCGGAACGGACCCAGCGGCAGGGGGCTGGGGTTGGTTTCTAATCCAGGGCGGTTTCATTTCAGGGCCCGCACCTTCATGCCATCTGCAAAGACGCAGGAGAAACAAGGCGGCTGTGGGTCTCGAGCGAGCGAGTGAGCAGGAGACCACCAGGCTGCACGGCCAGGCCCATGCCTAAGTCAAAGTCAAGCTCTTCGGGCAGTGAGCGATTCTAATCCTGACGTCGACACAGAGCTGAAGAGGGGAAGGCAGCTTGCTCCAGAAAAGCCTGCGAAGAAGCAAAAGCCTGGGGACACGCCCAGGGCCCCACCATCGTCCCCAAGCAGCGCAGCAGCAGCAGAGATGGAGACACGGCCCAGGGTGGGGAATGCGGGGTGTCAGTCCGTGTTTGGGACTTCAAAGGGAAAGCACTTGATGTTAGAGGACATTGGCTGGATCGAGAAGGTGCGATGAAACCAGGCAGAGAAGGTATGTCCTCCCACCTGGAGGAGCAGAGGAGCGAGCTGAAGGCACAGCCTTCTCACAGTGATGAGTCGTGAGGAAGCGGTAGGATCTGAGTCGCGCCTAACCTGCACGGTTCCCGTCGCCGTTTTAACCTGTCTTCACCTGCGCTTTCATTTCCTAACTGCTGGTTTCCAAGCTCTTGTAGATGTGACTTGCAGAACAATTCATAAGATGACTACGTTTTTTTGAGGCACATTATGAAAAACGATCTGAGCGAAGCTAATTGTCAACTTTATTAAGGCGGACTGCTTGTGGCCACGACCTCATGTGAAATACAGTCAAGTAATCCAATCTTTGAAAATGAATAAATAAATAACAAGCCACGGCTATGATTGAATTATGTCACTCCAAGAGAGAGATTGACATCTTCACCCCATGCCCATGAATGTGACCTTGTCTGGAAATAGGGTCTTTGAGGATATATCAGTTAATGTGGTCCCTCGAAGTGCTGGCCTTATAAAAGATGAGAAGGCACACAGAAACAGGGGGAAGCAGTCCTGTGGAGATAGCTGAGGCCACCGTAAGCTGGGAGAGGCAAGATCTTCCATTAGAGCTTTCTACTCCCCTAAAGAGAAACCCACAGGGGCAATTATACCCTAGAGGCCTGCTATGAGCCAGCACCAACTCAGTGGCAGTGAGAATGGGCCTATCACTTGGGGGCTCTTCATTTCAGCTCACTACATCCCTCCTGCCCACTGTCCTCTCTCAGCAGAGATGAGGGACAGTCTGAGCCCTGCTCCATGGAGAAACCGCAAGAGTGGAGGGCTGGTCCACTGAGGACAGCTGAGGCTTGCTCTCAGAGAGGCCCTTGTGGCACAAGCTAAGTGCTCACCTGCAAGACCCCCAACCCCTGCACGGCCAGGTGGGCCCCAGCAGTACAGCGGGCCACAGCCCTAAAGGGGCTCTGAGTACTGCCAAATCACCACAAAACAAAGTAAGCAGGGGCTGGCTTGTGCTTACTTACTCACCATCCATAGAAACCAAATCTCCCATTTTCTATTCACACCACAGATTCTGCTTGTAGGATTGGCTGGCGCCTGTCTCTCCCCCAATCCTACAACCCCTTCCTACAGAATCACAGCCTCTTCTCAAAGACACAGTCCCTTACGGGAAGGAGGGCCCAGTAAGCGAGGCAAGCGTGGGGTTACAAGTAACTTCCTTCCTCACCAGTAGTGAGCAGCTGGGTGATCAGAGATACCCCCGCCTGAGCAGGCAGGTGTTTTTCAGGTGGGACTTCAAGGTGCACACGCACCTGGCCTTCTCTGAACTCTTAGTGGGGGCAGGTAGGCTGGGCTATGAGTGGAGTCAGCACTCAGGAGCACACAGAGGAGGTGGCAGAACTCCCTTCAGGACCAGTGCCCGCTGAGGGGCCACAGGGAAGCCCATTCTGCTGATGCAGCCCTAAATGCAGGTCCCTTGATGCCAACACCCCTGGCCAGTGCCCTCGCTGCCCTGAAGGAACTTCATCCCTCCATTTGAGCTGCAACCCTTCTCACCCTTCTCTCTCCTTCCTTTCCTCTCCCCTTTCCCTCCTCCCCCTCCAATTCTGCCCCCTCCCCTTCCCCTTTCTCCCTCCCTCCTGCTTCTATGACTTCTGCACACTTGCTACCTGAGAAAACTCCCAGTACAACAAATCTTGTGGGGGCTGCTGAACTAGACCTGCACCTAAGCACAGGAAGGTCCAGAACGCTTAGTCTACACCCTCCCAGGATCCTCGAGCCAGGGCTTCTTCTTACCCCAGGCACCCAGGATGCTCCAGGGGTGTGACTCCGCAGGGAATTGGCTCCACCCCAGCACCACCTGCAGCAACCAGGTGTGAAATGCCCATGAATTCAAGTGTGGCTAGCTGGCTCACATTTAGAGCATGGAGCCAATGCCTGGGAGAGAAGGCTGACCAAGGATTTGTGTTTTGTTTACTACCTTGTCTTTGGGGTGGGGGGAGATCCCGTTAGCTTGGGCTCCCATGATGCAGGCCAGAAGAGGGAGGGGCATCCTGGAGCCACACTCCAGGTGGGGCAGGGGAAGAACCTACCTTGCACTAGGGTCCCCTGCTGGTCGACTTGGAACACTGTGCTTGCGAACAGCGGCGGGAGCATGCTGGACAGCATGGAAACAGACACTGGGGACGGCGGGTCTTGCACTGTGAGTCGGAGCTTCACAACCACACTTCCGGCCCAGAGAGAGACAATCTCCACCCGCAGCTGCCCACTTCTGTGCAAGTCGGCGACAGCCGGGGGGAAAGACTTTTCAACCTGAGCAAGAAGAAGCACCAGTACCTCAGAGGGAACATCCATGCCCCTATCTGCAGAACACGTGCCCAGGTGAGGCCGAAGGGGGGTGCACGCCATCCATCTGCCCTCTTCGAGATAAGGAGAGGCACCGCTGCCAACCCGAGAGGAGCACGCAGAGCGCCCACCATGCCCCGCCCATCACGCCCCCCTCACCCCTTCACCCTCCTCACACACTGCTCCCCAGTTGGCTGTTCTGAGGTGGTCGGGCCTGAGTCTGGTGTTTATTGGAGAACTCCCAGCAATCCAGCTCCCAGTGACGGAAAAGCCCCTCTGGATGCTCTGAGCTCAAGTACGAAGGTCACTTGTATGAGAGACAGAGAGTCATCCCTGGGTCTATTTGGAGTTCTCTCTCTCAAACACACACACACACACACACACACACACGCACGCACGCACGCACACATGCACACATGCACACATGCACACATGCACACGCACCTGTTTCCCCAGGAAACACAGAGCCAGGTGCAGAGCCACTTCCACCAGGGCAAAGGAGACATAGCCTTGGTCTCTCCCTCCTGCGCCCACAATTGAAGTACCATAGAGAGGGGATTCTCTAAGCAAGTTCAAAAGCAGGTGTCCTGCAGGGGAGTGTTGGGAGACAACCTTCCCCAGGTCTCACACATCCTCACACTCTTGAGAGCAGACACCACCTCTCCTTCTGTTTCAGACTACTTTTGCAAGGATATCTATAATAGTGAGCAACCTTGCTGGGCAGTGTCTCCCGTATTAAAAACCCAAACCAAACCCACTGCCATTGAGTCCATGCCAACTCATCACACCCCTATAGGACAGGCTAGCACTGCTCCTGTGAGTTTCTGAGACTGCAGCTCTTCACGGGAGTAGAAAGCCCATCTCTCTCTCCAGGGCCAGCTAGTGCTGTTGAACTGCCTACTGAGAGGGTAGGAGCCCCACACCCAACCACAGCACTGCCAAGGCTCCTCCTCCTGGGTTACACTGCCCAGGACACCAAAGAGATCCCTCATGGGGGGTGCAAATAGTTGGCATGCCCAGCTGTGGACCAGACGTTTACAGGTTCAAGACCACCCAGAGGCACCTCAGAAAAAAACCTGGCAAGCTACTTTCCAAAACAAAACAAAAATCAGCCGTTGAAAACCCCTGGGTTTTCCTCTGACATTCATGGGGTTTCCCTGAGTCGGGCGCAAGCTGGTCCAGTGGAGCAAAGTCCAGCCGGGCTTTCCAGGCACCCGTTCCCAATGGCTCAGGCTCCCTGCACTTCAAGTCTGACCCCTGTGGGGCCAGCCCACTGCACACCTGTCAGCCCTCTGAACCCTCATTCATGTGACTCCCTGAGGGCGTGGGGACACGGGGAGCTCATGGGAAGCTCCTGCTGTCTGTTGGCCTGTGAATAAGAAAGCCCTTTGCTGCCCAGCCAGGAGTTCGTTCTCTGGTGTTCTTTGCTAGCCACTGTGAAACTTTGGCAGGATGACTTGTTGGCTTGGGCTCCCGGTACATTCTCAGACCGTACACGATTCCTCAGCTTAGTGATGTCACTCTTTCCTCCAACGCACCATCCAAGGATGGGTAAGACAGACAGGGCTTTCTTGGCCCATTAGGAGTTACCATCTGGAACACTCACGGGGCAGTTTGACCCTGTCCTGCAGGGTTGCTATGGGTCGGCACTGCCTTGATGGCAGTGAGTTTGGTTGGGGGTTGGTTCTTTGAGACCATGTGCTGATGCCTGCCTTTAGCCACACGGGCGCTGTGGCTATTGATAAATGATTCTACAATGCACACCCAAACAGGGGGCCAGGTCACCGCAGCCCACAGAAAATCCAACAAGTAGTGCAGACCACTTGAGCCTAAAGATGGATTGCCCCAACCCAAACCTAGATTAAATAACCCATAAAGAAAAAAATAATAATATACAAGTGTGTGTGTGTGTGTAATTACTATGCAATTTGGGCTCAGCCTCCCATGTAGCTGATCGTGATAAGAGGTCGTTTGGCTGGAAGCACAGAGCAGGGTTTGTGTAGGTCTGGTTGGCTTGGCTTGGGTGCCCTTGCTCAGAACACTCAACAAGAGTCCCACGTGTCTGTGTGCCAGCATTACCTCCTGCAGCAGCTGTCTAGAAAAGTCCTGGAACTCCGCGCTGCTGCGGTTCCGTAGCTTCGCTGTGAAGTTGCGGTTGATGATCCTTATCGTGATTTCAAACACCTGGGCATCTGAGGCAGAAAGGCATGCAAGTGGTGTGAAGCTGTCTCATCAAAAGCCCCACCCCACCCCCCCAAAAAAAACATATCCTGCTGAGAAATAAAACTTAAATTAAAGAATGAAGCACGAGTCTCTGACTTAGTTCTCTAATATTACTAAAAGAGAAACATCACATGTGGGTGACTTTAAAGAACAGAAATGTATTGTCTCATTGTGCAGGAGACTGGAAGTCCAAGTTCATGGCTCTCAAAGGAGGCTCTTCTTTGTCTCTTTGAGCCTTGAGAAGCTACCGGCAATCTAGCCTCTGACTTTCTTCAGCTGTCGTTGTGCCTTGTGAGTGTGTCTCAGTTTATAAGGCACGACTGAGAAGAGATCAGGTTTAGGACCCACTCACTCTGGTATGGTCTAATTAACCCAACAAAACATGGTCAGCTCCACAGATTTGGAAATAACCATTTGACATGGATTTTTGGAAGACACAGTTAAATCCAGAGCAGTCTTGGAGTCCGGTAGCTGAGTTGGGAGGAATCCACACTCAAGAGTTGACTTAGCAGCAACTAGTTTGGTGGATGAGTTGGGAAGAGAGCATGGTGCATTTGCAGGGAGCAGAAAAAGTGGCACATTGGGGACCCCAGGAGCTCAAGAGTCACACATGAGTAACTCTCCCATAAGTAACCCCACTTTCTGGTCTCAGTTTCCTCAATGAGAGCAGAGTACATCTTTCACTTACCCTGCAAGTATATTGAGGATATAAGAAATGAATGAGATGGAGCCGGCTGGATCATTGGAGTGGCCTGCACATCCAAGCACTTGCATGTTGGTTGGCTGCGGCCTTTCCCAAACTTCTAGGGACCTTCCCTGGCCACTGACCACTTCAAAAGGAATCAGCCTCAAATCAGTTCACAAAGAGGGTTGGACGCTCCCATTAAAGGGCTCCTTTTTCTTCCCCTAACTTAATGCCATCAATTGCTGCCCCTAGTGTGAATCTCTATCCCTGTGACTGACCCCTGGGGTGGCATCTTCTACCCAATGACTTTTATCTCTTCACCCTGCTGAGTTATCAGCTTGGACTCTCCAGGATGGGGACCCTACCTGTTCCAGATCAAACTACACATATCCCCAATACTTAGGCCAGAATATCTTACAGTTTCACCTCCCCTACCCAACTCCCAAACCACACACCTTGAAGCTGCAGGGTCACACTGCTGGGGGAGCACCTCCATCACTGTATCTAATCCAGGTGATACCTGTGATCTGACAGAGGGCAGGATGGGTCATGAGGCAGAGATGGGCAGGCCAGCTGACTTCTAGAAACTGGAGTCTGGGTGTGTGTGTGTGTGTGTGTGTGTGTTGTGTTCGCTGGGAGGAGGTTTCCTCGTAGCACAAATGAGTGTGCATTGTGTTTGCCCTTCATGGGCATCACCCATGATGATGAGGCATGCTTTAGGAATATTTTAATGTGAAATTTAGTTCCATGGTTTGGAGTTAGGCAGTCCCAGCCCTGGGAGACCAAGGGTGGTTAAGAGGCCTTTAAATGTATGATTCCACCTGTTTGCTCATCCTACCTGTTGTCCTCAAATCAATGCTGACTCATGATGACCTTGCATGTTCCAGAATCAACTGCTCCAGAAGGTTTTCAAGGGCTGCAACCCCAAGGAAGTAAGTGCCCAGGCTTGACTTTCAAGGGGCTTCTGAGTAGCTTAAAATTGTCAACTTTGGGCTCAATCCACTCCCATCGCATTACCCAGGGTCCTGTATAGCAACCCTGCTGGTGTGGTGGGTTAGGTGTTGGACTGCTAATCACAAGGTCAACAGTTCAAATCCACCTGCTGCTCTGTAGGAGGTAGATGAGGCTTTCTACTCCCATAAAGACTGACAGTCTTAGAAAACCAGCAGGGCAGTTCTCTCCTGTCCTCAAGGTCATTGTGTGTCAGAATCAACTCAATGGCAGTCAGGCTTTTTGTTGTTGTTCATTTTGAGAACCCTAAATCTATTATCCGTCCTCCAAAATGGGACCAGATCTCCACAGTGTCCATGTCGACAGATGCCAGAAGGGAGGGGAGCCTGTGACAGCCAAGACTAGGTCAGTATCAGAAGGAGCTGGAGCCCCGAGGAACCGTGGGGCACAATTACTTCCCATGCCCTCATTTAGGAAGAACAAAGATTAGAAGCTCTGAGAACAAGAGGACTAAACTAGAACAGGTTAAGGATTGGATGCTGAAGGCACAACTCCCACTACCTATGACCATGACCTTGTGGGAATCGTCTTTGCAGATGTTACCCATTACGCTTGACATAAGGTTATACTTGAGTAGGGAGGACCCTAATGCCCTCTAGGTGGTGTCCTTAGCAAAGAGAAGAGGAGACACACCAAGACACAGTCAGCGAAGATACCACGGGATGAAGTATCCACAGGCCACGGAGCAGCTGGTGCTGCCAGAAGCCGGGGTGGGGGGCGAGGCATGAGCAGATTGTCCATCTGAGCCTGAGGAGCCAGCCCACTGGCCTCAGAGCAAACTCCCAGGCTGTGAGACAGTCAGTGTGTGCCATCTACGCCCATGGACTTTGCAGTACTTTGGTACAGCAGCCCGAGGAGGGAGCCTGAGACAGAACGACAAACTCCAGAGGCAGGAGGTGGCTTCTGCCACGTGGCCATACCTGTTCTGACAGTCAGCGTGGCAGTGGCGTTGGCCCCGCACTCCCAGTAGCTGGTCTTCACCTGGTACAGCACTCCGGCCTCCAGCCCCACCACCTGCAGGGCCGTCCCGTGGGTGCTGGCACTTCTGACTAACTCCTCGCCCTTGTAAACCTGGACGTGGAAGGTGTGCTTCTGGGTGGAATTTAAACCCCAAGACACTCGAAAACTGCTGCTGGTGACATTGAAGATCGTGTAGTTCCTGATGGGAGGACAATCTATGCGAGCACAAAAGGAGGACAATTTATAAAGTGTCAGAAAGAATTCCTTTATCTCCTGAAGTAGGTAGATTAACCCACCCCACCCCCTACCACCAAGTCACTGCCGACTTACAGAGGCCCAGGCTGGGTTTCTGAGGTTATAAATCTGTGCAGGAGCAGACAGCCTCGTCTTTCCCCGATGGAGCAGCTGGTGGAATTGAGCCCCCGACCTTGCAGCTAGTAGTCCAGTGCTTTCTGGACAGTGCCACCAGGAATCATTATGGCAGGTAATATAGTTTTGCTTTAATTTACACACCAAAAAAAAACCAAACACCCCAAACCAAAATGGTTGCCTTCTGGTTGATCCTAACTCCTGGCAACTCCACTGTGTGCAGAATAGAAATGTGTGCCCCAGGGTTATCAAGGCTGCTGCATTTCCAGAGCCGAATGCCAGGCCTAACTCCTGAGATGCTCTGGATGGGTTTGAACTACCAACTCGCTAGGTAAGAGAGCGCTAGGTAAGAGAGCGGTGCTTCAGCATTTGAAGAGCCCAGCACCCTTTGCTTTATCTAGTTCTCCCCTAGTTTGAAGAGCAATAGTGAGGTTGAGTAGCCCTCACTTAAAAAAAAATTGCAATCATAAACTTCAAAAGGAGCTGATTTGGGGTGTGTGTGTGTGTGTTAGGATTACACTGAGGAGGTTGGGACAGTTAAGTTGAAATGAGAAGCAAAATAAGTCTAAACTTTCCAATCTCAGCTCCTGAATCAGAGAGCCGTTAGAAAGGCGACTAATCCAAGCTGCAGAGAACCCGGAGTTGTGTTTGCCGTGACTCCGAATCAAGGGTTCCCAGGCCATGAGAATTCCCTGGGGTCGTGGACAACTCATCACACGTAAACACCCAGGCATATTTCACAGTATAGGCCTTTCGGATGTGTGGCTAACACCCCGTCATGTGCCCAAGGAGCTTCTGTCTTCAGCTACTCCATCATGCTGAGGAGAAACGCGGCTCAGAAGTCGGGCGGCGAGTTCTGCATGATCCTCCCTATGCGTTCACTTCAAGGAGCAAACTCTAGACAGTCTTGTTGTTGTCAGTCAATCCTGACTCAGGGAGGCCCCAGGCACAATGAAATGAAGCTGTTGGGATCTGTCAGGTTTTCATGGGCTGACTTTTGGAGAGTACACCGCTGGGCTTTTTCTTCCTGGTCCTGGTGGAGAAGCTTCAGTGAATGGTCCAACCTCATAGCCGTCCACAGGCCTCCCCTGACAGACTATCCAGGGTGGCTACCCAGGGGTGCCTCCGGCAATCACGCCCAGGTCCCCTGCGTGGAGGATGAGTCTGCCGCCCTACAGCCACCATGTCCCTTCATAGGTTCTCGGACTTGAAGAGAATTCAAGCTCTTTTCCAGGGAAATAGTCCGGCTCTACCACAAGTAGCCTGGGCGATATGCATTCTATATAAGAGCTTGATGACCCTCAGCCTGAGGTCATGCTTGTCTCGTCAGAAGTCAGCTCTATCTATATATTTAAAAGCAATGCGGGACTTTATTTGTTATTACTTACAGAGCCACAGTAAGAAAAATAGAAATGAACAGGCTGGGAGGAGAGGGGCTTTCAGTATGACAGGATGAAGGGGTTTGCTGGCTTGTTTTCCAGTGACATGGGCGAGGTCTTTGAACAAACAAAATCATTAAAGACTTCTGGAGATGGTACTGCAGGCAAACAGCAAGTGAGGCCATGCCTACCCATGATCGTCTATGAAACTGAGGTGAGAAGGGTGAGGATCATGACATTTGAACCAAGACTCCTCCCATTGCCTCACAGCTTCACCAGGGGCTGAACTCCAAACTGCTGCAGCCAAGAACACAGGGCTCCCTCTTACCCCGAGACCAGCTGAAGGGCCTTCATCCCAGAAGACCAGGGCCATCCTCTCCCCAGCTGTCCGCTGCTGAGGCCAAGCCCCACGCAAGCGCAGTCAAGGGGTGGGGCCACCCTTCTCCCACCCAATTCCCACTCACAGACCAGAATACTGAGGGCCCAGATCTATGGAAGGACGGTTGCCTCCACATCCAGGAAACTCAACAAACTTCCATGTAGAATCAATACTAAGAGACTCACAAACATATCAGATGATAGTAACAATAATGATGAAAGCCCAAGAGGAGGCACGTCTTGGAAGCAGCACGAGAAAAATGAAGACAGTAAATACTAACCATTAAGAGCAGAGACAAAGGGTATAAAGAACAGCAAATCAACCAGGAGAAACACACACACATGCACGCACATTCTTTGAAAGCATCAATAATATGTATTCACTCTAGCTAGACTGGCAAAGATAAATAGAAGACACACATTTTAGTTAAAGTGAGAAATGAAACTGGTACGTTATTAACTGTATAGACACAAAAAAGAGACTCATCGGGCACAGCTATATGTCAACAAATTAGATAAACTGATTGAAATGGACAAATGGCTAGATACACAGCAACCAAATTCACAACCACGGAGTCAGTTCTGACTCCTAATGATGTTTCGGGACCGAGTGGACGTGCTCCTCAGGTTTCCGAGAGTGAATGAATCTTCACAAGAGCACATGGCGGCATTTGCCTCTGACAGAGTAAGACTGCTCACCTTTGGTGAGCAGCCCAACACTTAACCCACTGTGTCACCAGGGCTCTTAGAAACCCTTAGCTACCTACATTTACTAAAGGAAAACCAGAAAAGGTTAACAGGCATGTAGCAAGGGAAAGCATTGAATCAAAAAGTCTGGAGCAGGGATGCACTTAGGAGTTCTACCAAACATTAGAGAATTAACACCAGTATTTCTCAGACTTTCACAAATACATAGCAGAGGAAGGGACAATCCTTAACTCGCTCTAGGAGGCCAGCATTACTCTGATTCGAAAGCAAGGCAAAAATATCCTGAGAATAGATTGCAGGCCAACATTTTTCCTGAGCATTGATGCAAAAATGGTCAACAAAATAGTAACAAATCAAGCCTAGTACCACAAGAAATGAATGATACACCATGACTCGGTGATATTTATCTGAAGAATTCAAAGATGATTCCACATAAGAAATCAATTCGTGGATGTCGTTGTTAGGTGCCGTTGAGTCAGTTCCAACTCATAGCGACCCAAAATACACTACCAATTAGGTCAACACGGGGACCTACTGCACTAGGGGCCTGATCCCATCTGAGGGGTGTTCTTATAAAAGAGGAGACAAAACAGATGAAACACAGTCATGTGAAGATGCATCCACATGCAAAGGAAGGGTTCTCCTCTAGAGATTCTGGAAAGAACGCAGCTTGCTGACACCCTTAATTGGGAATCCCAGAGTCCAGAACTGAGGCAATAAGATACTGTGGTTAAAGCCACTCCCAGCTCTAAGAAACAAAGAGGTGTGTCTCACCGAAAAAGTCCAGAAAGGGGCAACATTTCTTTCTAAAAATCAATGAGGGTAAACGGTCCAGTTGTTCCATGGCAAAGCTCACTTGTATGTTCCAACTATTCTTTTTGTTTTCAATCATTGTATTAGGGGCTCATACAACTCTTATCACAATCCATACACACATCAATTGTGTAAAGCACATTTGTACATTCATTGCCCTCATCATTCTCAA